CACATGGATGAACTGGTACATGTTGGTTTTGAAGCAAGCTTAGAAGGCTTAACTCTTTTAAAGGAGAGGGAACGTGTACAAGCCCAGCTAGTGCTGGCTCATGCTCATAACCACTAATACTGTCTGTTATGCCTCAACCACATTTGATCCTTAGAACAGCTCTAAGTCTTAGAATTAAGCTATGACTAAAGGTTTACATACAGGCTAACACTTCTGTGTTGCCAGAATGTTTTGCAGATGGGATGAACTAGTTTCCATTTTTTAAAAGAATACTGATTGAAATTATGAGTGGATCAACATCAGTACTAAAGAGAGAGGCAAGAAAAATCAAGGACTGGGGCATAGGGGGCAGCTGGGGGCATGCAATATTCTGTCACTGTCGGATAGAGCTCCCTCTGAGCTCAGACCATGAGCCACCAGTGGGAAAAGTGTGGGAAAATTTGATCAGGGCTGGATGTTCAGGCTACCCATCAGAAATACTATCAGAGGAGAACAAGACTCATGCAGTATTGTGAGTTGTTCTCTAACAGTTTCTGCTTACATGCTTCAATTAAGATTTGCAGTTTGCCATACACAGCGTTGTGCACTTATCTATGCGCCATACTCTCTTACCTGAAAGCCTGCCTTCTCCTTTTTAGACTTATTCAGTCAGTGAAGTTATCTGGAGAGGCCTTCTTAGTATTGCCACAGACTCCCTGAGTCCCACTTTTTTTGACATTTGTTGCACAGCACTTAACATGGTGGCACATAAATATGTGGAATGCTTTTCCCTTAGAAATCTGATGTGCTCCAACTATTCTTGGCTTCAGACACATGTGAAAATATACTTGTTTTTGCAGGCCTTCCCTGTTTAGTCCTGCCTAACATCTTTTTTATGAACCATACATGTTGATATGAATGTTAATTTGTATATTGTATATTTTGAGAGCTATAACCCCCAAAAGCTGCAGATCCAAGTTCTGCTATAAATACAAATCAGGAGATTGTATGTATGGAATGGGGTCATAGTAAGTGTGTGTGGAGGATGCCTTGGAAGCATATACAGTTAGCCCTCCATACCCACAGATTCAATCATTCAAAGCTTGAACATATTACAAAAATTCAAAAGCAAACCTTGATTTTGTCATTTAATATAAGGGACACAATTTTATATAATGGAACTTGAGTATCCATAGATTTTGGTATCCACAGTGGATCCTGGAACCAAACCCCAGAGCATAAACTGTAGTTCCCCCCACCCCTATTATTCTTCAGCTTCACTTGGACAGGGGTGATAGGAAGGAGGGGTGGACACAGAGAATGAGTAGCAGGGAAGACGCAAGATTTAGTGTAAACTGAAGGCTACGTGTGTACAACCATGGTACATAGGTCAATAAAAAAGAATACTTGAGCTTATTTTATGTTGGTTGCAAGTTAATGGGAATTAGCTCTTTGGGCTGTAGATCTATGATTCACTTTCAGTAAAGCCTCACTGAAGTCATTGGGACTTATTTGTGTGACTCTCTCTCTCTCATTCTCTCTCCTGTTTGTGGGTAATAAAATATTTTTATTCCATTTTAATAGTTGTATGTTATATACTTCAACATTCTGAGTCCAATATCATTACTAACTACAACATTTGGCCTAGGTGTTTTCTGTTCTTGCTAGAAACAGTCCTATCCCTGACATCTGCCAAGCAAATGCCAATCCAGCAATGAAAGGAAGTAGAAGGATGTGATAAAGGACTCTTATCTGAGACAAGAGGAAGCTTTTGCTGCAGCCAACAGGAAAACAATTTAATTTTCTTATCAAGGCCTGTGTTGCTGCAGATTAAGATAGCTGAGTTATGCTTGTAGTTATGTGCACTGCTGAATTATGTGTTATTTCACATGGCACTTTGTTTTCTTCTAAAAGAAACTGATGACTATTTGTTGCATATTCTGTTTTCCGAGTTAGACTTTTTATTCTGCTGTCATTTATTTTTAGTTCAGCTTTCAATACAGCCTGCATCTTATTTCTAAGATCTTTAGAGAACAGGAAATGCTTAATGACTAACTCAAATATCTTTCTGAACTGCAGCAGGCAACTTTATAACTGTCCTTTGGACTATTTGCCAGATGCAGAGAATATATTCAGGGAGAAACCTCATCACGGCTGTTATGTATCTGGCTTTCCAAATTAAAACATATAAAATAAAAAGGCATAATGCATTTCCATGACCACATACACATGCACACAGACACATACAGATGCACCTCATCAATATATTTGTCCTTCATCTACTTTCTTTCTGAACAATGATTTTTCTGGGTAGTAATAGTTATATGAGTGATGTCATAGCTGCCAGCCCATCATAGCCATATCACATTCAGGATCAGAAATAAATAAGCATTTTTGCCCCAGAATTGCTTGACAACTTTTTTTTTAGTATATGAGTTTTGACAGCAGCAAAGTTACTATTAGACATGTACCAATACAATTATAATACAATGGGCCCTTGACATTTGATAGGGTTTGGTTCCAGGACCCCGTGTGGATATCAAAATTCATGGATGCTCAAGTCCCATTAAATGTAATGGCATAATAAAATGGCGGTCCTTATATGAAATGGCAAAATCTAAGTTTGCTTTTTGGAATTTATATATTTTTTGAATATTTTCAAGCTGTGGATGTTTAAATCTACGGATAAAAAAAAATCTGTGATACAGAGGGCCAACTAATAAAACTAATTGCATGACTCTCCAACATTTGCACAATACTAGCATGGCTGATTGTTTCTTATCCATACCATCAAATATTTAGATATTTGTACATCTATGACTGTTTCCTTGCAAATGTATTAAAACATGCATTAAAGTGACACTTAGTTTTCTAGATGGTGTTACTAATTATTTATGTCATTGTAGACGCTACAATAGATTGTTGTAGTAGGCCGTAATATAACATTGACATTTGGCTGCAAGATAAATATAATTAGAATACTCAAAAATAATAAGGATTAACCCGCCTGCACTGCAAATAATTAAGGATGGCTTAAGAGAATTAGAGGTGCCCTTAAAGTATTAGGCAGTGAGATCCCTTTCAATAGATAAATAAGCTGGGAAAACCCATAAACAAACAGACAGATAAATAAACAGACATTATTAAAACTAAAGCTGAAAAAACAAATATGTACTCTGGATAAATTAAATTTGCTGACTGCCATAAAGAATTGATGGCATACAAAAATCGAGAGCCACCGTGGTGTAGTGGCTTGAATGTTGGACTATGACTGGAGACTGTGGGGGGAAGCAGACGACTGCTTCCCAGTCGCCGTGGGTCGGAGCGCTGGCGGAGCTCAGCCTCCGCACCGCTGCGCTCCTCCAGCGACTCTAAAAGGAGCTCCAAATTGGCGCTCCTTTTAGATGTCAGGGAAAGTGTGCCCTAAAAGCGGCGGGCGCACTTTCCCTGACTCTTCCGCCGCAGCGCATGTGGTCGCTGCGGCGTGAGGTCATCCCCGGAGCGCTGGCCGTGCGGAGGGCCGGCGACTCTGAGGGCGACCTCAGGAAGAGGAAGGGGTGCCGCTCGTGCGGCTGCCCCTCCTCTTCAGGGCCTCAAAGACGACTCTATTAGTCGTCTGCCGAGGCCCTAAGGTTTGATTCCCTGCTCAGCCATGGAAACCTACTGGGTGACCTTGGTGAGTCACACACTCTCAACCCCTGAAAACCTTATGATAGGTTTTGCTATAAATCAGAAACAACTTAAAGGCACACAACAACACAACAATAGTTAACTATAGGGTCAGTGCCATCTGCTTTTCAAGCTGCTTGACATGTAGTCAATTTGATGTTCTCCTGGACTGCCTAACTACTGAAAGGGCAGTGCATATGCATTAACAATAGTCATTAATCTGATAATTAATATAGATATTTTTGAAGAGACTAGTATGGGTTTGACATAAGCTCTATCTATAAGCAGAACACCACACAATGTTTCCTCACCTAGAAAATTAGAGAGCTGTGGCCATTCCAGCTATGCCAACTACCAGGTAGATTGGAACACATTGCATGGAAACTGGTACCAAGCACAGTATTTCTTCACTGACAGGGCTAATCTCACTGTTTCATACACAGCTAATTCCTGCTAGCTGAAAATGGAAATCACAAAAGTGTAAATGCAAAAGCTAGTATCTGCTTCAAATATTCAGTACCTGCAAGGCAAAAAGGGCAACCTAAGGTAGTGCTGCTCCTTGAGTCATGCAGGCATCTGAACATTTCACACACCCATGCACAGGTGTCCACAGACCCAGCACATTTCATTTTATTCTTACTTCTCAACAATGTGAATAGTTATACCTTCCCCACCATTAAACTGGCAACTGTGCTGTTCCTGGTTCCCTTCAGCAACCATGCAGTGGCATTAAAACCCTGGTAAAATAACCAGATTAATTTTGGGGACTGTACCAATCCACAAATCGCTGTGAGCCAGGAAATGCTTTTCAGACGGCTTAGTCTACTGAGCTGTATAGCTCAAAGGCAAGCAGGCTGGCATCCACTCTTTTATAGACTCCAGCCTAAAATGGTGCTGTCCTGATGCATATTTTTATTCATGCATGTTTATGCATGATATTTGCTACAAAACTGCAAAAGAATTGTCAAGGGAAACTAATCTGTCCTTGTTCCTCAAACCTGAATGCAGGCAGTTCTTATCCTAAGGCAACTATTTCACATGTGCAGTAAGTACATATTCCAAACCTTCCACAGTAAACCTATTAATTTGTGCTTTTATCAAGGATTTCAAAATATGATCACCGGTAAACATTAAAGTGCCTTAATCACATAGCTGCTTCACAGGGACAGCATGTAACTCAGAAGAATGTTCGTTGATAAGAGCGAATAGTGAATATGGTAAAATAACCTCATGAGAAATTTTCTGAAATGTCAGGTAGGAGACAAAAAACCCCCAAGAAAAATGAAAAAGAAATTAAAATAAAAATCAAAGTGAAATCCAGAGCTGATTAGTAGACCACTATGTATTAGCATAACAGTGAAGTGTAGTGGTTTGAGTGTTGGACTATGATTCTGGAGACCAGGGTTCAAATCCCAGCACAGCCATAGAAATCCACTGGATTACTTTGGCCAAGTCACACCCTCTGAGCCTCAGAGGATGGCAATAGCAAATTCCCTCTGAAGAAATATGCCAAGAAAATTCCATGATAGGCTTTTGGATTGCCATAAGGTGGGAATGACTTGAAGGCATACAAGACCACCACCACCATGTTCATTCTACCCAAACCTTAACAAAAACTGCAACATCAGCTCTAAACAAAAGAAATGTATTTCTCAGATGAACAAACAACATGTGCATGAAGACAGAAGTGAAAATCTCCTAAGATCAGAGAACTCTCTTCTGCCATTACATGGCACTGAATTCTTCTCTGGATGAAAATATTAGCTAAGAATACCTGGCTTTCCCTTCCTCTTTCTTGCTAGTTCCCCTTCCCCCACAAAACAACCCCTTCACCAGTCCTGACACCTGAAATTAATTTTTCCTTCCTTTTACAGATTTAGCCAGAGTCTGGGATATCTCAAAATGCCACTTTAAGGTTTATGAGGGGCTCCCGCTTCTGTTAATCTTAGAACAGTACATTAGGTTAGTGGGGATAGAGATACACTCTCTTTTTCTTCTATCCCGTTCTGCCCCTGCTGACCAGGTAAGTAAAGGTGGTAGTAGCAGAGGTAGACAGAAGGCTGTTGTGACCATGGGGACATCTAGTGGGGCAGGGCATTGCTTTGTATTTTGAGCAATGGAAACAGTTCCAGTTATTTATGTTTCCTTGGAACACGGCCTTTGCAGACTGCCAGAAATAGTGCAAATTGAGTCCACTTTAAGGGCTAGGTTTAGTGCTAGGGAATTATGGGAATTGGTTTTTTTCCCTGAGACATTGAGCCTTCTCTGTCAGAGAGTTCTGGTGCCACAATAAAATACAACTCCCATGATTCCCTAACCCTAACCCTAACCTTTAAAGTGGACTCAATTTGCACTATTTCTAGCAGTCTGCAAAGGCCCATTGTTAGGTTAATCTGAGGTGAGCAGTAGCGATCTCACCCATCTGTATGGTTCTATTTTATTACAGCACGTATATAAGCTACCAGGTAACATTGTTCCCCATTTGGCTCTACCTAGGTACAAAGACGTGAGTGAATACATTCCACAACGGGA